GACCTCAATTAATCCTGAGAGGTACAGAAAACCAACGGTTTTGATGTAAGGAAGACTTTATCCTACTGGTATAGTCAAGTATTCAGGGCTAATATACTACCTCTATACCTCTATACTTAACTTTTACTTGCACCACAGATGCTGATGTTTATGAAGTCTTACACAGGATTCTCTTCTATGGCCTGCATGTGATGTCTTACTGAACTACAGTAGTAATCTTATTCTGTATGGTTCTATGTCCCCTAAAATCTCTTTCCCTTTCAGGTCAATCTTATGATTCACTTGCCATTTATCAAATTAACACAGCAGATCTAGTAGAGCAAATTACAAAAAGGATTTGACTTTGGATCAGTAACATTGAATAATGCATCACTATTAAGATCTATTGTTCATGTCAAAGGTAGTTCAGATATTTAAGATAAATTCACACACTAAAAATTTCCCAAAATAATGTCTGTAAGAACAGGCTTTTAATATACTTTAAGAATGATCGCATTGGAAAAGCATACTCTTCTGAAACTAAATCTCGCCTTCATTTGACAGAACAAAAGCTTAAAAGGCTAAATACCTATTCATGTCCAGCTAAGAAAATAGACAAGAAGGAAGAGCCCAAGATTTTCAGACACCAAATTAGTGCTTCTTCCTCCACTTCAACAGTTCTTAGTGGCTTTTGTTCACATTTAGACTCTGAAGCACTTAAAATTTTGTATTTAGAGAGTTCAGTAACAAGGCTTAGACTCAAACTAGTAACTGACTTCCAGCTAAACCTCATGTACAAAAGACAGTATTAAAAATGCTAATTTCATTCCCAGACAGGCCTAATAATAAGCTTCCTTTGTAATTATCATCCATAATAGTATTTACTTGTTATAGATAACTCAGACCAAAGCACTGTAAGTGACAGTGCTGAAAGTAAATGAAAATGAAAGCTGGCAAAGAAATTCATTCTGTATTAATAAGTCACTTCATTAAAAATATATCGCAACTTCAAACATTCTGTGATTGAGGACAATTTCTAGAAGATGAATACTAATAATTCTATTTAATGTAATTTTACTTCATTTCCTTTATTAGAAGAAACTAAAGGTCCATTGGTGGCATCCTGTCAATGTTGCCTTCTATTAATAGTGTAGATTCTGAAGTGATTGGCCTTGCTTAAAAAGGGGGGGGGGGGGACAAACCAGTGTAGAAAACACTCACCTGTCTCCAAAAAGGAAAACGATGGCTGGCCACACAAACAATAAAACACAAATATAGTCTAGAAAGGGGGAGGAAAAAGGCATTAGTGGGGAGGAGGAAGGAAAGAGGGCATTTAGCGGGATTTCACCTAATGTACACAATGTGGGATGTTCGGCACACCCCCTCGGTGAAGGACTCGATTACAACTTGCACTTTGCCTTGGGAAGTGAGAATGTAACCTAAAAAATTTTACCCTCATATTAATTTGAAATGAAAAACAAACACACACTCAGATTCTAGTTCTGGCCCTGCATCTGAATGACCTGAAGAAAATCATTTTAAAGCTTTGCACTTCAATTTCTTTGTGTATAAAATGACAGTAACTGGCTCAATCTACTTACTGCCAGAGACAGAATGATAATCACCCCTACAAAAAAAAAGAGTATTTACAGACAACTACCAGAGTAAATTTTTTTTATTTTATATACATATATACACATACACATAAATACAAACACATTATGTGCAAGATAATAAGTGATAGGTTGGGAAAAAGATATGAAGTATAAATGTGCCAGTGAGTTGTATAAAAACAAGGAGTAAAACAGTTAAGTCTTTAGAATAGCAGCTGGTAGGTAGGATGTATTAAATTCACAGACCTGCCCTAAGATCAGAAGAGCACTAGGAAAATGAAGGACCATTATGTGTCTTACACACAAAAAAATGGTATTCTGTGAAGAAAGTCACTAGATTATAAGCTTACAAAACATCTAGTCATAATAAGTTAGCTGACCATTTACTGATTTACCAGTAACTATTACAATTTATACATACTCTGGTGCTATGATCTGAATGTGTTCTCCCAAAACTCCTATGCAAAAGCCTAACTAACCTCTAAAACAAAAGTGAAGCCTTTGGGCAGCTCTACCCTCATGAATGGGGTTAGTGTCCTTATAAAAGAGACCCTCTATCCTTCCCCAACAGGAGGTTACAGTAAGACAGCTGTCTACGAATCAAGAAGATATCAAATTTACGAGCACCTTGATCTTAGAATTCTCAGCCTCCCAAAACTGTGAGAATTTACCACCACCTTGATCTTGGAATTCTCAGCCCTCCAAAACTGTGAGAAATAAATTATTTTTATAAGCCACTCAGTTCATGGCATTTTGTAATAGCAGCCCCCGAAGCCTAAAACATCTAGAAAACACTAGGAGCCCTACACCTTAAAGAATGAGTTCACAGCTAATGAGAAAGAAAAGAAACAACATAAAGGATAATATGCTACAGTCCATGATACCAAAGGTGCTTTGAGACCACTCAGAAAACACTAAACAGGAAGATTTCTGAGGTAATATTTATTGAATGCCTATGTGTAGGCATTTTACATACTTTAATCCTCATAACTCAGAATTAAAAGCAGGGTCTAATTCCAAAGCTATCTCCACTATACATGTACCTACCATGTCGTCTCTGATTACCTTTACCCTTGGCAATGATGGGGAACTCAAAACCAGCCAAAACTGTTGTCTGAACCATCATGAAAAGAGCACCTAATACTTTATTCAAGTATCTTACTTGAAAGATCACTTTTGAAAACTTGTTCTTCATTCATAAAAATCTGAAAACTAATTTTTTAACAACTGCATATATGCTTAATGTAATTTTTTTACATTTAGACCTACACAATTACAGGTCTAAATAAAAAGTATGCAACATCACTGAAGAACATAAGCAATAATCATTTAAGAAAACAGACATTTGGAATCATTACTACTGCTTGGGCTGAAAATTTTAGCTATGACCTATAGTTTGGGATCATTCCACTGACTGATACTGAGTGGTATATTAAATTATTACAAATTTTTTTGGAGAGGAAAAAGGAAATTGACATAAAAGTGATATAAAATTTAAGAAACACAACCAATTAAATGTTACCTATCAAAGACACTGTAGGCACCCAATAAATCTTGTTTAAAAGGACAAGACAAGTGGAACGAGAATGTTTTCCTCACACCTCTGACTATTAAGTACCTTTACTTACAAAGTTATTTTTTAAGCCATGAAAAATGAAAAAAAAAAAAAAAAAGAGAGAGAGAGAGAGAATTCAGGAAAAAATAAACCAGCTTACAAAATCCCTGAAAAGAAATTCTCTGTACAATTAAACGGGTGCAGGGGAAGGGATGGACAAGGACAAGGGCAATGTCCAGAGGATGGTGTACAAACTACAGAGCAAACTAAAGCTAGCTTATAAATATTGACACAATAAGGCTTCCACAGCTTACATTTTAATTTTGCTAATAAAGATTACAAGTTATTTCTTTGTGTTCTGTTCTTGTATTCCTTCTATATATATTAGAAATACATAAAGACTACAAATTATTTCCTGAAGCTATTTCAGTGTGTGTGTGAGAGTGACGCTTATCAGGGTTTCTTTCTAAAGCTTCTGGTCATCCTTAGAGCCTAACAGCAGCAGCACTGATATTGTATTCATTTACTAAAACTGTGATAACCAGTTTAGATTTAAAAGCAGAATCTAATTCCAAAGCTAATTCCACTATACATACCACAAACAAAAATTTGTTATCTCTCCTGAATTCTAAATTTTACATGATTTAGCAAATAACCTCTTAAGTACTAGTAGTCAGAGGTATGAGGAAACACTTCCCATCCCACTTGTCCAATTTATTCAACAAAATTTACTGGGTCCCTATGTGTCTCTGACATGCAACTTTTAACAGTTATACTTCTTAAACTTTAGGACACCTCTCCTGCAAACCCCTTCTCTCTCCAAAAGTTGTGGGATAATCGGCCGCTTCTCCCAACACTGTAAGCAGTGGAATGATCCAAAATTAGAGTCATGTCCATATTCCCTCCTAATTGATAGTAACTTTGGACGGTAAATCCCATATGCTATTAGTTTACATTTTCAACAACATTCTAACCACTTAATATAATCCCAAACATATTTTGTACTATTTCTATCTTAGCATACCCACAGGAAGTCATGAAAAATTTAGACAATAAATTATCTTTCAAGAACTCTAAGATTAACCAGGATCTATATTTAAAAATTTTTTTTAAATATTATAGCTATTTGGTACATTCAATTCTGACTTCACCAACAAAAGCCTCTACATGGAAAAGGTCTTTTCGTTTTCTCAACTGAAAAGGGGGAAAAAAAGCCAACTGCTTGCATGCAGGTTTGCATTTAGCACAGCAGTCTCTGGCAAACCCAATAACTCACGTTCAACTTCAGAAATCCCGGTGACCAGCAACACAGGAGTTATCTGTGAACGTAACCCTTGGGCTTGACATACCACTTCATCCGCTCTCTTTCCATTGAACCACCCCCAGAACTCCAACCCACCAAGCACACGGTTAAATATGTCTTCCCCGAGAGAGCCAAAAATCTTGAAGAAGCCGAGAAAGAGCTCCCCTTTAGAAGAGAAAGCCTGTCCTTCCCAGCCTGCGGCCCGGTCAGGCTCGGCGAGCCTCGCTCCAAGGACGCCCAATTCTCTACGCCCTGCACGTCCCGCCCCGCCCCGGGCCCGCTCGCGTCCTCTCGGGCGACAAAACCCTTCCTCCAGCGCTCAGCCAGGACTGACAGTTAGGGCTGCGGCAGCCGCTGCCACCAGGGGCCTACTCCTGGCACCAGCCCCTACAGACCACGCGCCCCCAAACCCTCGCCACAGGGGTGGGAGTGGGGGCTGGGGACCGGGAGCCTACCCTCGCCAGCGGGGGCCCGAAGGGTGACGGGGAGACCGAGGGGACCGAGGGGAGCAAGCGCCGCCAGCCCAGGCCGCGTCCGCGACAACACTGACCTGTCGTCGCCCCCGCGCCTGGGCTGCGGCCCTCGCAGCGGCGGCCGCCTCAATGGTCGTTGTCGCCCTCGCCCGCCGCCTCCGCCCGCCACCTCCTCGTTCCCTTTCGCTGCCGCCACCGCCGGGGCTCATGCGGGACCCGCGCTTCCTTCTCCGGAAACCGATGCCGGGAAAGGAGGCCCCGGGGCCACCAAAATCCCGACGTTTGTCGCCAGTAGCCGCTGCCTGACCACACTGGGGGGCTGCAGGGCCCTCCTGGCAGGGGCTATAGGCCGCGAGCTATTCCGAGGAGGAGCCACGGGAGGCGCCGCCGCCCGCAGCCGAGAACGCCGGGTCGGCAGAGGTGAAGCGTAAGTAGGCGGCGGATGGCGGGCGCCGGAGCCGGCGGATGGCTACGCGGCGGCGGAGCGCGCGAGCGAGCGAAAGCTGGTGTGTCCGGGTTCTGGCGAAGGAGAAAAAGCCCTGTCGTATCCTGTAGTCACCCTGAGCCCAGCGCCACCATCTTGGGAGAAACACGGATCTCGCGGCAGGGGCGCAAGACGGGCGGACTGGCTGGGCGGGCCGAGTATCCCGGCAGGCAACGCGCGCCGCCCGGCCGGGCGAGAGCTCCAGGCCCTGACGCGAGGACGTGGGGCGGGGCCAAGGCGCGCGCAGGCGGGCTCTGCGCTCGGCCCCTCCCTCCCTCGCCGGCTCTGTCCCCCTCCTGCTTGCCGTCGCCGCCAGCGCAGGGGCCACAGGGAAGGGGGAGGTGGTCTGCGGTTCCGCGGAGTCGGAACCAGGGTCGGTCGCCATCTTGGGACTGGATCGAGGGGTTAATACCTCTTTCTAGTCTCGGCTGTTAGTGACCCCCTTGGAAACCTGGGGTATGCTCCCGAAACCCCTTACATCCCTCCAGAAGGGCTGAGGAATTCTTCGTCTACCCAACCCAGGGACGCCTCCAATTTTATTTGGGGATGTATCGGCTCCAAAAGTTGGCCCCGGCGGGGCTGATAGCCCCCAGCCAGAGGCGGCGCCGAAGCCTTGTCACAGGGTCCCCGACCCCATTTCCGCCTGGAGCGGTCCTTGTAGCCTTTGCAGCGATGGCCCGATAGTGCGAGCCAGCTGTCAGGGGACCAAGGTCAGCTACTTAGGCCAACTCAGGATTTGTCACTAGTTTACCAGAGCCTAGAAGTAAAAGCTCTACTGCAGTGGCCACGTTAACTAGGTTATCGATTATGTTAGATTTGCTAATTTTGATCTTTATGATAGCTGAACCCATTTAGAGGCATGCGTCATATTCAGTATCAGGGTCACCATTTTATTTAAAGGTGTTTTATCTTTTTATGGTTTTACAACGCTTGCCAGCAGAGTTATAAGAGAATCACAATTCATATAGTCTCAAGGCTTGCAACTTTGCTGATAAGCCCTTAGAATACTATGTGAGGCCTCAGTCATCTAGTACTCTAATTCGTTATAACCACAACAATACATCGTAAGTGTATTTTTGAATTGTCGTTCTTAGAGCATCTTTTTAACATAGTCACAACTGTAACAACTATAAAAAAAATTAGCCAGTTATAAAAAGAATAAGCTAAAAGAGTTTTTTCCTAGGTCAACTAATGATAAATGACAGTCTTAAGCTTGGTTCAATTTTAAGATGTTTTAACTTAACTATTCATTTTTCATTTCCCCCATTACAGAGCCTCATTTGGAAACTATTTGCTGTTATATTTTATGGAAGGGACTAGCTAGAATTGTAATTTTTTAAGGATTTATCTTTCACATATTACCACATGTCGAAATAGACAACTGAGAATGAAAATCGTTAAAGACTTTGTTGTTAGAACTAAGGCAGGGTGGGGCCTATGGCTCAAGGAGTAGGGCACCGGCCCCATATGCCAGAGGTGGTGGGTTCAAACTCAGCCCTGGCCAAAAACTGCAAATAAATAAATAAATAGAACTAAGGCAAACTATTAATACCAAATAGGAATAGCATGTGAAGATACTTTTAGCTATGCTACTTAAGTACAGATTGAATGAAATGCAATTTTGTAATAACCTGGTGTGGCAGAAATCCCTGAATCGCGAAAAGATTAAAGAAGGAAGGGAAATAAAATCTGTTCTGGATGTCAGAATGACAATCCAGTGCTTTGCTAAGATCAAGGAGGATTCTAATTCCTCCTAGGAATATGGAAAAATTACCCGTATCCCTTTTAGTTCATTAATGTTAAATATGTATATTTGTGCATGATTTTAGTGTCGGACTTGATTCAGGAACCCACTATGCTCTTTGCTTTATCCATTTTCAAATTTAGAAATACTTTCTGGTAAAAATTGCCTCCCTGAATATTATCAAGAATCTTTAAACTATTTGTAGTGCTGTACTTCTACATATATACATACGTTAGTCTATGTGAAAAATTTTTTTCTCCCATATTTTTCTTCAAGTATATTTTCACAGAAAAATGACTTAGTATCTACTAAGTGAGTAATAAATTGTTTAAACTATTCCTAGTCAAGATGAGACCCAGTAGTTTCTAAAAATTTTCTCATTTCAGGTGTAAAGTAAAAAGAGCAGTTTACTTTTAAAAAGATATGCATTAATGTCTTGAATAAACTTTTGAGATTTTATTTACCCAGAACTATTTATGTGCCAGGCCTTGGGAAACAATAATAGATCAACAGTTCCAATCCCTGCTCTCAAGAATTCACAGTTGAAGAGGAGGTCCCACCTGTTAAGACTGGACACTTTTTCAGAGTAACCCAACATTTCAGTGATTGGGGGGGTACCTCCTACTAAATATCTGATAGTACACTTTTTAAAATGACCTTTTATCCTAAATAGCTAATAAAGTGTTTTTTTTTTTTGTGGGGGAAGCAGGGATGTTTGTTGCTCAAGATTTCTTGTTGACATGAGTCACAACAGATGAATCAAAATATAAAAACAATTGGGCAGTGCCTGTGGCTCACTGGGTAGGGCGCCGGCCCCATATACCGAGGATGGCGGATTTGAATCCAGCCCCTGCCAAACTGCAACAACAAAATACATATATAGGCTCGACATCTGTGGCTTAAGCGGCTAAGGCGCCAGCCACGTACACCTGAGCTGAGGGGTTCAAATCCAGCCCGGGCCCGCCAAAACAACAATGATGGCTGCAACCAAAAAAAAATAGCCAGGCGTTGTGGTGGGCACCTGTTATCCCAGCTATTTGGGAGGTGGAGACAGGAGACTCGCTTGAGCCCAGGAGTTGGAGGTTGCTGTGAGCTGTGATGCCACAGCACTCTACCCAGGGTGACAGCTTGAGGCTCTGTCTCAAAAAAAAAAAAAAATACATATATATATAAATAATTTGTTATTACCTAGCATACCCCATGGTCAGAAATAAGCCATGAACATGGAAAAGGAAAAAATCAGATATGGTGGGGTGAAAATCATTGCTGCAATTTTCAAGCTGCACCAAAATGTTAAGACATTCAGCTATTGAAGGACCGTAAGCTTTCAGTATATGAATAGTTTCCAGTATTGTACTTTTCGAAGAATAGCTCCGTAAAGAACACTGGCATGTGAAAAGTGCTTTGGTCCCTTTTGTGGCCATCGCCTGAGAGGCAGCGGCCAAAATGAAGTTCAATCCCTTTGTGACTTCGGACCAAAACAAGAACTGCAAAAGATACTAGGAGAGTGACACGAAGGCTATGTTGACCAGTTTGATGGAAGTGTTTCGGATTGTGTGTGAAAGCCCCACACTGTACCCCAGAGGTGCATTGATGTACATGGTTACCATTCAATTAAAAAAAAATAAATAAGAACCGCAAAAGACATTTCAATGCGCCTTCCCACATTGTCAGGAAGATTATTTCTTCCCCTCTTTCCAAAGAGCTAAGACAGAAGTACAATGTTCAATCCATGCCCATCCGGAAGGATGATGAAGTTCAGGTTGTCCGGGGGCATTATAAAGGTCAGCAGATTGGTAAAGTAGTCCAGGTTTATAGGAAGAAATATGTCATCTACATTGAGCGGGTGCAGCGGGAAAAGGCTAATGACACAACTGTCCATGTGGGCATTCACCCCAGCAAGGTGGTTATTACTAGGCTTAAAGATCCTTGAATGAAAAGCCAAATCTCACCAAGTAGGAAAGGAAAAGGGCAAGTACAAGGAAGAAACAATTGAGAAGATGCAGAAATAAAATAATCTTATATGCAGCTTTCATTAAACACTGCTTAAATGAAAAAAAAAAAAGAAAAGTGCTTTGTAAATATTACTGTTTAGTAATAGTGCCGGTATTAGTATTAGTGTTATTTATATCATTATTTAGCATTACACACAGCAAACATGAACTTCTTCATACCCCATCCTTAGTCTTATAAATTTGTCTAAATTTGCATTGCTCTTGACCTGTCTTACATCCTTCCCTCTCTACAGCTAATTGTTTTTGGAGGGGATGTTGTTTGCCCCAAGACTTACTCCTTTGATTATTCCTTATCCCATTCATAAATTCTCTATTGACTTTGTCTCTCCTTTTAAAGAGTTATCTGTGCTCAAATGGTCATTTCCTTCTACATCCCTTTGCAGCAACTGCCTCCATTTTGCTGCTTGTATCAGTGTCACTATGGCATAATGGCCAAATTCAAAAGTTGTTTCTCAGTTTTCATAGTATCTGATGTCTGGTGCAGCCTTCCACACTGCTAACTGTTTCGTCCTAGAAACTGTGCTCTTGGTTAAGTCCAGCCTTGTTCTTCAGTTCTCCTGGCTATAAGGGTCTCATTGAGAACCTGATGGACCCCTGGCACATAGCACCACCACCCTAGCAATGGATGAGATAAAAGAAAAGTGTGGTCATCAGCTCTGCTTCTGATAGATCTTGTCTATCAGAAGCAGAGTAGGGATAATTGTAAACTAAAAATCTTAAGGCTCCACACTACTGGTTCACTGAACAGCCCCCTTTTGCCCAAGGGGATACACCAAAACTAAGTTGCTAGTCTTGAGAAAGTAAATAAGAAATGCCTCATCCTGCCCTCCTCCCTTCTTAGAGACATCCTTGGTAACTCCTTAAGAGGCCTAAGGCTATGCAAGAGAAACCTCCAAATCCTTAATTTAAATAACAAACATATTGCCTGCAGCTTGTATGTGATTAGCTGATTAGCAGAACAGACTCCTGTAACTTAAAAAAAAAAAAAAAAAGCTTTTATACAAAGCTTCATTTCTTTAAACAATTACAAATCAAAGAATCTTGAAACCCACCTAAAATCTGTGATCACCGCCCCTCCCCCTAACCCCCCCATACCCCACTCCCGGCAACCTCATCCCACCCAACCTTAAGATGCTCACCTTTTCTGGCCAAACCAAAGTAGCCTTCCAAGTATTGATTTACAATTCCTGTTTCCCTAAAATGCATAAAATTAAACTATAACCTAACCACTACTAATCCACTTGCCCAAGACTTCTTAAGTGTGGTTTCGGACCATGGTCCTCAAATTTGGCTCAGAATAAACCTCTTTAAATTAAAAAAAAAGGAAAAAAGGATATTGAACGAGACAGGCAAAAAGTCCTCTTAAATCTAAACCTCTCACTTAAGCACTAATTTCACTTATAGCACCTATACC